ATAATAATAATAATAATAAATCTGACCGCATATGTCAACATATTACAACAGGTAATTCAAGATGAGTCAAGATGAGGAGCTGTTTTGGAGCAAAAAGACACGGCTCTTCCTGGTGAGCCGACAACCAAAAGAGTCGAATCTCGGAAAAAGAACTGAAATTCCCATTAACTCGGGCGTCTTTCGACTGGGCGGGTCCATTAGTCAGATAGAGAAGGTGTGTACCCGCTTCTCCCTCCGCACTGAGCAGTGGAACAAACCGAACTCCCACCCACTTCCTTCATCACAGTGACGCCGGGATAACTAACCAGGAAACAGCGGCAGCGAATCGCTTTTCTTCTTCTTCAAACCCGTACCGCCGGAGCTTCAAGCGTGGTGTTCAAACGTTGACTCGCGTGTTTTCCTAAAAAGGAAAAACTCCATTACGGTAAGAAATAAACAAACATATTCCACTTTCTCGAGCATCTTTCCGACTTCTCAACTGTCCGCCTTTTCACCGACCTGCCTGGTTGCCACTTAGCAAAGCTCGTCGGTCAATTGTAGATTTTGTGAAATGAATGAGTCACAATCGTGTTCAGGTTAAATGAACTACATTCTAGAGTCGATAATTTGTTTTGTAAAATAAAAAAATAGTAAATACTAACATTAAGGCGCTGCATCCTGCCCATGTACCGTGAACTTCCTCTTTTCACAACAGCAGCTGGTTTCTCATCAGAGTCTCGAAGCTACGCTGCTGAACTGATTTTTCCTTTATTTGGACGGAGACATTGAACGTTACACGGCTGACCCTCAGCAGCCAGGCCATCAGCTGGCCTCGTGCGCTCTAAACTGTGGCTCGAGCAGAGACCGCAAATGATGCATCATTAAAGGGAATGCACACACTGACAGCTGGGCCGTCTTTGGAACCGGTTTACACACTCTGTTGTACTCTTGTTAACACATGTACACAGTTTTACTAGGTTCACTACTTTAGATGAGTACAGAATGAAAGCATTAATATTACAATTTGAAACTTGCCTTTTTTTGTTGTTGCAAGTTTAACATGTGTGTTTGACCTGAAATAAATGACTCAAACACTGGCCAGGGATCTAGGATGTCCATTTAAATTAAAAGATTAATCTCTGTGGGCCATCAAGGTCTTTTACCCTCACAGCAAAGAGCTGTGCGTTATTTCCTTCCTGCCCAGAAGTTGCTGAAAATGGAAGTGAAACAATCAGATAGATGAATTTGTCACATCATGCATTGTGAAAGTGCAGCGTAAACATGAAATGAGTCTCAATGGGCTCAAAGTTTCTCCTGTGAGAAGTGGACTAATCAAAGCAGCAGTAAACATGCAGAAAATTAGGCCTCGTCACAGTAAAAGCTTTACTGTTTTCATTGCACGCTGATCAGAAACGTCAGAGTCTACCAGCAGTTTTTAAATACCTGTTTGCAGAAAATGGAGATTCTCCTCAGGCCTGGTTGTAAAAATAGATGCATACACCCATCGAAATTGTCTTGACTGTTTTGGATTTTTGTAAAACTCTAAGCTGAAAAAAAAATCTGAATTTTTTTCAGCTTCCAGTTTCTTTCTAAGATCTATAAATACAATGCAAAATATATAATTTGACTGTGATCATAATGAAGTGTTTACCCTAAAACAACACAAATGTGGTCTTGCTTTTGACCTTTTTTCAGTTAATAATGCATGTGTGTAGCCTTAATACATGCATAGATATTTTTAATATTTAAGGTTTGCGTTCAGCTCTAGTCTTTTGATCCTTTACACCTGCTTATCTATCGGCTTTTATATGCAAGCATACTTATAATTTAGTTTTATTGATATTTTACATTGTGATAGCCAAATGTTCTCAACATGCAATGTTGCTGGATGWTGGAATGACCGCAAAGCACGGCTGAAACACATGTAAATATGAACTAGGGCTGCCACGATTAATCGATTAATAGACGACTAATCGATTATTAAAATAATCGATGACTAATTTAATAATCGATTAATCGTTTTCTTTTTTTGTTGTTGATGTTCTTTACTTTGTTTTTCTCTCCAAACTGCTTTGACAGCTTCCACTGCCACATCTGTCTTTCTGTCTTTGGCTACGTTCACAC